CTCGCTGCCTTTTCTCTGCCAGGCTTATATACTAACGAGGAGGCATCTCCAAAAATCTCGGAGTTCTCCGGTAATTCGAGAATTTCATCACGTGCACCAGCGTCATGTGATTTTCCGCTGTCGTAACAATATTAATAGAATTTCGAAAACAGTATTATTTATATCATGATGTTCACAGACTCATTACCTGAAAGAATTCGTGTTAAGACAAACCTACTCAGATTGTATGCTGTCTTCTTGGAGTTTTTTCAACGGATGTAATATCAGAGTTTTAGAATATTAGGACGAAAATGTCAATTTCCCGAGGGAAAGTTACAAACTTCCTGTGCACGCGGAGAAAGAGATTAAGAGTGAAGCATTGGTTCAGCTTTTTATATCTTGAGGGATTATTCTGTGAAGTGCAAAAGACGTTGGTTTGGAGTATTTATGGGAGCGTTCGAGAAAAAAGGGTTAGAATCAGAATACGGCTATGAACTTCAGATGAGACTCCAAAACTGACCAATTTAAGGTTTAGTTTCATTATGAGAACTCTATAATTTATATATGAACAGCTTAAGCTACATAAATCAAGGTTAAAGGTCAAACATTTCTCCATTTTGTTGATAGTTACTGGTAGACACCTAACTACCTGAGTTTCTGGGGGGTCAGTGAAGATAAGTCAAGGTTAAAGGTCAAACATTTCTCCATTTTGTTGGACTTACACACCAAGTTACTGGTAGATACCTAACTACCTGAGTTTCTGGGGGGTCAGTGAAGATAAGTCAAGGTTAAAGGTCAAACATTTCTCCATTTTGTTGGTAGTTACTGGTAGATAAGTCAAGGTTAAGAGTAAGATTTTATGTTATCGTGTTAACAGAAATTTATTTTTATTTTAACACTGAAGGTCAACTGAAACAATGAGTTTCTAACCTGCAACTAGACCTAGTTTAACTTCCAGTAATATTTTAAACTCTTGAATTGATGTTATTCAAACAATATACATTTGTACTGACCATATGGTAAATAGTTTAAAATATTCGATCTTATTCCATATAAATACATTCATAGAGTTAAATTGACAGAAAGTTAGTTAGGAATCCCCGTGTGGAACAGTGTGAACCGTTAAAAGTTAGGGTTCGATTTCCCGCGGTGGACACAGTAGATAGTACAATGTGGCTTTTCTCTAAAACAAACAAAAATTATTTAAGATGACCACGTGTCAGAGGATAAATTGATAGAAATATATATATAAGATGATCATACGTCCAAGGTTAAACTGGCAGAACTTTTCTTGCGATGATCACATGACAAGGTTCAAATTGACAAAGTACTTTCGTAAATGTTTCTACTTTACATATTTCAGAATTCGATAACATAGAATAAGTTGACCTTTCTATTCTTTACACTTTGTAGTAATTGTCATTAACTTCTGATAAAAGCAAGCTACCTAAATGTATCAAAACTAAAAATTAAATCCATGGAAGTAAGTTATCAAACCATTCTATCTAGGGTTAAGAAACATAATAAAACAACAACTTATAATGATGAGAATGCATTGACTTATCAGTTGGTACCCTTTCTGTTAGCAACATTTTCGGCCATAATCCCATTAATTGTAATAACAGAACAGCGATTGTTGATTTGAGTTTCACTTATTGTAAAACACGAAACGGCATTTGAAAATACGTTTAGCTTATTGTAAGTGATGCTGATTGGTTAACTTAATGACCAACCTCTCTTTTGAAACGGTCTTCACTGAGACCCGGTCCAATCACAAAGGCTTGTTTCATAAGCGGTTCTGTAGACAGCGCCACCTCTCCTAAAATCCCATTATTCACTGGAACATCCCTCCAACAAAGGACCTATAAAATATAAAATTATTTTTTTAACATATAATTATTTTCAAATTAAAATTTACAGGATACTTCAAAAACCTCCCTCCTATACGAAGATGGTATAAGCCTAAAAACATATATTAAAATATTTAAATATATTTAGATATTCTTTAAATTTTTAAAGAAACAAAATATTTGTACTACTGACGTCATTTATTTACCTGAAGATTATATTCGGAAGCCAGCTTTTGGAATTCTGTTTGAACCTTATCAACGGAGCTCGAATCAAGAAATAAAATCCCGGTAGCATACTGACCACGAGGTGGCAGTTCGATCTGTTGTTCTTCTCTAAAAACAAAAAACAAAAAACAAATTGAATACGTATTCTATCTCTTCTGCAAAACTTTCTGGCATTAATCAAACTTCTAAATATCAATAAGAAATTGCAGTATTACTGTGGATGTTTTAATGTTCTCATCATAAAAACGAGAATATTAAGAATCAAGTTAATTAGTTTCTTATTCACTAGGCAAATATTTGGCTGTATTAATAATAAATGTGAAGTCCAATAGATGGGGTTACTGTATGAGTAAAATACATTTCAGAACACTATACATTCTGCTGTATTTTAAAATCATGTACAAATGGTGTAATTTTAACTTTGGGCTCGTGTCTCAGCCCTCCCCCTCTTGGGGACTAACAACGCCAAATAAAGGAAATTCAATTCCGGCGGTACACACGACATAAATTGTCCACGAACAGCCTCGCGCTTAACAACTAACAAACAAAGTGTAGCCTCCCAAAAAACTTTCTGTTAAACGTCAATTTTCTTCACAATTGAAGTACACAATATTTCCTACGACATTTGAAAGAGGGGGGGGGGGTATTTTTGTGGTTTCCTATACGGTTGTTATTTAAAACGACTTTACTTCATCACTATGTATTAAAAACCCGGTTTTAACAAAACGAAACGAATTTTCGTGTTTCCCCACAAACAAAACCAGGTGGAGATTTTACGAACTTTTCTAAGTTTAGAAGGCAGGCAGAGGGGAGAAAGTTTGGTTTGTTTGTTTTAGCAAATTACACCGTAAATTATCTGCATTCTATCCACCATGGGGAATCGAAACCCAAGAATTTAGCATTGTAAATCCGTAAACATACCACTGACCCAGGGAGACGGGAGAGAGAGAGAAATAATAATAAAAAAAAGATGTCCCAAAGAACATAAGAAAGAAAATCACCTAATAATTTTGTTTGTTTTGTTGTTAAGCGCAAACCTACACATGTAATGGGCTATCTATGCTATGCCCACTGCAGGGATCAAGCCTCATATTTAGTATAATCCTTAAAGCTTACTACCGAGCCAGCGGAAGGCTGATGATCTTATAAACAGTAGAAAAATGAGAAAATTAGGTCAGAAAATTCTGAAAAAATGAACATTCAAAATTTTGTCAAACATCTTGATGGTAGTATGAACGAAATCAAAGGAGGGGAAAAGTAATAGTGTATATATAAGATATATTTTTACAGGCCTAGCCTAGCCTTGTGGTTAGGGCGCTCGAAATCTGTGAGTCGCGGAGTCAAAGCCCGTCAATGAACATGTTCGTCCTTTCGACTGTAGGGGGCTGGTAAAAAGTAGTCCAAGAGTTGGTGATGTTGACTAGCCGTCCTTCTAGTCTATCACTTTAGACGTAGGGACGGCTAGCCCTCGATTAGCTTTGCGCGAAGTTTGACAAAAAAACTATAAATGTACAAAAACTAGGTCATTACGAACAACAAAGATAGACAGAGACTTATTTATATCCAAATTACGTCATCAGTATAAAGAGTTATTTTCTGTTCAGAACTCCACACGCCTTTGTAAGATTCTAAATTAAGAACATATGTAACCAAGTGTATTATTTGGAGCCATCTAGCGGGAATGTTAGAAATTGTTACACTGTGTTCGGTTATTACGTTTAATAATAATAAAACTCTCTCTTAATATTAAGAGTATAAACTTCAGATGGCTTGATTTTCTGTAAGTTTAGCATGTAAATAAATGAATTAAGTAGTCACGTGACCAATGGCTTTGGAATATGTGATTTGCACATATAGAGTGGACTGACGACTGTCTCGGAATAAAGTTTTAAGCTAAGTTACTCATTTGTGTGTTTTAATAACACGCTTAAAGTTAAGTAGTCTTGGAGCACGGAATAAAATATGTATCAAAAAAATATTATGTGTATTAGCCGCAAGGCAGCGCTTTTAATTGAAACTAAACCTTGCACGATGTTAAGACTAACATCTACGAAGTCTATAGAGAAAAAGTTTGTGTATTAGCCGCAAGGTGGCGCTTTTAATTGAAAGTAAACCATGCACGATGTTAAGACTAACATCTACGAAGTCTATAGAGAAAAAGTTTGAATTCTTTGTGGAAGGATTTTACGTAATTTCATAACTCCATGATTCTGTAGTTTTATAACAATTGTTAAGGCTTAACGCAACATTGTGCTGTCAACAAACCTCTTTGATAATAAAGGTATTCTAATTGTAGGCATGTGTACGAAATATGTTTTTATCATGCGTTTGCGTTATAATTGAAACGTGGACCTGGATGTATTGTACAGAAATCAAAGAATGCCTTAATAGTATGTTACTAGAATGGAGATTTAACATGATAATCAGAATGGAAAATAAGATACATGTAAACTCCAATCTGCGCATCCAAATAGACGTTCAGCATCATTCAGAAATATTCATTTATTATTGTTGATTTTAGATCTAGACTCTTCGTGATCCTCCAGTCTAAAGAGAGATTCAATATAATTCAGCGATGCTCATCTATTGTTGTTGAAGGAGTACAGAAAATACAAAATGAAACGAGACTGACCATCTCACTATTTTCGCTACAAATATTCTTATCGGTTTATTTCGATGCAATGTTTCATGCAATTACCTGATTTCTCTTGAATCTCTTTACGGACGCCAACACATGGCGTCAGAATAGAGTGTACAACCATTAAAAATGTCAGAAATCAAGCTTCTAAAAAAAAGTGCTTTTAAAGACGATTATTTGAACGAGTCCTTCAAGGAGCTTTTCATTTCAAACATTGACGTGCACCGTTCACTTGTAGAGTTATCAAAAATATGAACCATTATATGTTCATAAACCATTAGAGGGCAGCACTTGTAGAGTTATAAAAAATATGGACCATTATATCATCATAGACCATTAGAGGGCAGCACTTGTAGAGTTATCAAACATATGGACCATTATATGTTCATACACCCATGTTCACATTTTTCTGAGGATATCAGAAACTGGAACCTTTAAACCCTAAAACTATGGCTTTTTAACCTAATTCTAAAAGTTGATAATAAGAAATGTAACTATATATTAATTGAGTTGTGGCCTTAATCTATTAACCACAAGTTATAATCAAAACTTTTCTCATCACTCCTCCCCACATGATTCAAGAACTACGTCATTGCCACGTCACAGGGCTGCGTAAAATTTTTACTCTCGAAAGTCAAGTTTGCACGTTCTCTTATGCGTAGTGAAGCCACCTAATGGTTGATTTAATAAACTTAGAATTACTTCCAGGATATTTTCAACAGCGATATTTTTTATCTTGGAACTTATAATCTCGAGTCAAGTTTAAGGATACCTCTGAAATCAATAAAATAGGTAGTTAATTTGCCCAATATGATGGAAAGTCATGTGTATTGACCAAATAAATAATGTAGTTAGATTCTTAAAATCCTAGATCAGACTTCCAGAAGACCTTTTCTGCCCTCTAATGGTTTATGAACATATAATGGCCCATATATTTTGATAACTCTACAAGTGCTGCCCTCTAATGGTTTATGAACATATAATGGTTCATATTTTTGATAACTCTACAAGTGCTGCCCTCTAATGGTTTATGAACATATAATGGTCCATATTTTTGATAACTCTACAAGTGCTGCCCTCTAATGGTTTATGAACATATAATGGTCCATATTTTTGATAATCTACAAGTGCTGCCCTCTAATGGCGCATGAACATATAAAAGTCTGTATTTTTGATAACTATACAAGTGCTGCCCTCTGACTTTTAGATGATTCAGTTCCTTCTCTATTAGATAAAAATGATATGTGTTTAGTTTGGTTTTGACCTGTTAAGAACGGCGTGTATTCATGTCACACTTAACAATCTTCAGCTATGGTGGTCAAGCAAAAGGTAAAGTAAGCTAACACTTATCGAGCTTAAAAGGAACATACGACCGATGTTTTCTTAACGTAAGCAGATGAGAATTGTGATACGTTCTATCTGGATATGTCACCAGTCAACAGTAGCTTACCCCAGGTAGACATAAAAATAAACAACAAGTTTCTGGCAAGACTCAATCTCAAGACCTTTTGACTAGGAGTCATTACCCACAAGGCCACTCTGCTATTGTCGTTAAATAAAAAACAAAAGACTCTCTAGTTCATCATTCACGAATACATTCCCTAAATAATTAACTTTGGATATCTTAAACCATGCTTTCTTTAGTATGTTGGACCTCTGGGTTATTTACGTAGTTCTCTTATTTTGACTGACATCTTAGGTTTAAGGTTACAAACTACACAGAACCAACTTGTTCTTCTCTCTCTTACAAGAGTACTTTACGATAGAAAGAATGAGGAATCGCTGCCAAAACTCCAGCCCCGTCGCCGGTGCTATTGTCACAAGCACAAGCTCCACGGTGTTCCATTCTTCGTAACATGGTCTCGGCATCTCGAATCAGCTACCAAAAAAAAAAGAGATTTCCATCAAACACTGTCACCTACTATGTTTTAACAGAACAAACTTAGAAGAGGTTGAGAAAAGAAACACATGAAAGGAGATGGAGAAAGAGCCCTAATAATTTACAAGTACAAAAAATAACCCTCTATTTTAATCACTTTTTTTTAAATCTCTTTACTATAAACTATTCGTCAAATGGTGATTTCACTGTAACTTCTAGCCTTCTCAACTCACCCAGTTATTCATTAATAGACATATTTCTACTTGATTAACATTAAAAACAGTCGCACATACTCTAAAAGAAAGACTCTCGGTGTTCAGCTTGAATCCCGGGTTCGATCCCTGTGATGTACACATCCCATTGTGTAGCTCTTCGCTTTATAGAAAGCCGAAATGAATGGACTTTAATGACTAGGCTAATACCTGTTGGACTTTTATTTAGGCCCGTTTCTTTAGAATTTTCTCGCAAAGACACACCAAAGATACCTGTCCTTAGCCGTTCCTAATTTTGACCTGATGAGACTAGATGGAAGGCAGCTTGTCAATAGCAGCCACCACCAATTGTTGAACTATTGTAATAGAGTAGTGGTATCTTTCTTATGGAGCATCCTGTACCGTTTGTGCGGCATTGAAACACAGAACGGACACGCTAACCACTGGGCTACGCCCGGCCCAATATCTGGCGCGTGACATGTCAGACTGAGTCGATTTATAAACGTGAACGTGACTTAATGATTAACGTTCTTGATGAACTGAGGTCCATGGTTCGCGTCCCGTTGCCAAGATATCGCACACTACACTCCGAGGCTGTGGGTGCGTTATAAGAGTAATGGTTAAATCCCATTAACGAATAGAAGCTCGGTAGTTGGTGTTTCCCTTGACTAGGTGTATTTCTCTAATCTATCAGCTACAAAATTAAGAGTCGGCCCAGCGTATATGGCCCTTGAGTAATATCCAAAACAGACACATAATATGCCAGAAGGTGGCGCTTTCTTCTATAACGAATATAAACGGTAGAAATTTGACAACGTAAACAAAAATGAGAAATACGAGCTTTGGGGAATTCTTATTTTTAAATAAATACAAATATTTGATTACTAGTTTTATAAAAATAACTTTTTTTTTTGTGAAAGTCTCCGTCGGTAGTATTTGAGAAATCCTAATCTCTAGATCGAATAGTAACATGATAAATACGAATGGCTACATATAAAACAGTGGATCCCATTAGAGCGTTTTATGTCTAACTATTATGATTTTATTGTTGGAAGCTTGTAGATCCAAGTTGTTGTTGCTAGGTTACATCATTGCTTCCCGTCAAAGCGGAGTTGATTTACTGCGCTGTAACAAAGGGATACAGAAAGAACAAAAAATAGTAAAACAAAAATATATGTCGTTATTCTTGGTGTTAAGATGTGTCTAGACGGAGACGCCATGATCTGCTGTTCTTTCTCGTCACTTATGTTTCAAGCTATGTTTGTTTTCATGCTCTTTCCAATCACGTGTAGTAGAGAGAGGCGTACCTCATGATATAACCTCCGAGACGTTAATCATTACCCGAGACGCTGAAACAAACAAACAAACTAAAATTGTTTAATGTTTAGTTGATTATCTTAGTTCCAGGATCTCAACATACTCAAGTCAATAAACGTAGTGTTCTGTTCGTTACCCGAAGGTTCGTCGAGTAGTTTCGAGGTAAATGAGATTCGAGATTGTGCAGGTTATGATATATACAACACAAATCTTGTTATATATAGAGAAACGTGTAGCAAAAACTTGAACTTAACAAGGAAGAAGGCTAGAATCAAATGTTTATTGATCTATTTTAATTATCCTTGTTTACGGAAAATTAAACTATTTCAACGGTGTACACGTAAATTGTCTATGACGATTGTCATGACATCGACATATTTTTAGTAAAATACAACCCATCGTTGTCCAGTAGATTAGGACATTATACTTTGTGATTAAATAAAGTACAAAACAGTCGACTAATATACAATAATGACATTATTACTAAGTGAAGTACAAAGTAACTGACCAATACATAAGAATAACATTATTACTAAGTGAAGGACAAAGTAACTGACCAATACATAAGAATAATGTTATTACTAAGTTAAGTACAAAGTAACTGACCAATACATAAGAATAACATTATTACTAAGTGAAGTACAAAGTAACTGACCAATACATAAGAATAACATTATTACTAAGTTAAGCACAAAGTAACTGACCAATGCATAAGAATAACATTATTACTAAGTTAAGTACAAAGTAACTGACCAATACATAAGAATAACATTATTACTAAGTTAAGTACAAAGTAACTGACCAATACATAAATATAACATTATTACTAAGTCAAGTACAAAGTAACTCTACATTAATGTGCTATGTACTTTTAGAAAAGTTTAATTCTTTTTTCAATCATTATTTACAGTTTATGTTATGATAATCCTTACTGAACGGTTTTTTCTGTTATTTAGCGCAATTATTAGTGTTAAATATGGGTTTTTAATCACTCAAAAGAGGACGCCACCATAAAATTTATATTATTATATGTGTGTGTGATAAATAATTTTCCTAAAATATTCTGTGTTGCAAAAAACCTTTATCTACCAATCTATACTACTCACTTCTCAAAGGTTCAGTTTTAATTACAGTATTTGGGATTATTGACCATTCTATTTGAGTAGTTTTGATGAGTTGAAATCCAATGATAAGATTCTATTATGTACATTAATTTGAATCACGTGATTTTCGTAACATGTGTTTCTTACTTAAATGATTAAATATCAAGGAGCCGTGGTTCCATAAAACTACTTCTTAACATATGTTCGCGAGCCTAAATGTGCATACTTGTGAAGCCGATTACCTTATATTTTAAATAATCGGGCTCAAAAATCTAATTAGTTTTATTCCATCGCAATCCAATTTTCTGAATACTTTTTGGTTGTTTTCCTATTCCGACTACAACATCAATCACGTGATTTCGCCTCCATTCATCACAGAACCCTCTAGCGGGCAGTAGTTTATTAAAAAATCTTTTTTTTAAAGTAAGTGATACTTCGAGAGTACAGCAAAAAATATTCTAAAATAATTAAAAAATTATTATTGTAAGTTATTATAAATAAAAATAACTTCACGTTGATAATGCTCTTCGGAGGTTCCTTACAAACATTATCATTTTGTGAACAAAAAATACTTTGCCATATCATTTTTCATAGTATATAGTGGAATATGTTAAGGCTGTATATACTTAATAAGGGCTGGCATGGCCACGTGGTTAGGGCGCTTCGAATCACACCAAACATGCTCGCCCTTTCAGCCGTGGGGGCGTTATAAGTGACGCTCAATCCCACTATTCGTTGGTAAAAGAGTAGTCTAAGAGTTGGCGGTGGGTGGTGATGACTAGCTGCCTTCCCTCTAGTCTTACACTGCTAGATTAGGGACGGCTAGCGCAGATTGAGCATCATCTATACTAACGATGAAACCAGCCCCACAAGCTTCTTTTTCGTACCATGGATCACAGAGTCCTCTAGCGGGCGTTAGTCTACTACGCCAGCCTTCTGTCACAGTATTAAAAATTTACGGAAGCGATAAATATAAAAAAAAAATATCAAACAACATACCTGATGAGACTGAACGCCATCTATACTAACGATGAAACCAACCCCACAAGCTTCTTTTTCGTACCATGGATCATAGAGCCCTCTAGCGGGCGGCAATCCATTACGCCAACTGTCTGTCATGGCTGAGTGATCGATCGAAAATAAATGAAGGTTCCTCTTTTGTGAGCTGAAGAAACAAATAACATAAGAACAAGATTATTCCAAACCTTTGAAACTGGTTAAACTACAAATAAAGATGGCGCTACACACAACTGATAGGAAATTTGGGTGAATTATTAGATTGTCTGATTTTATATGTTTATTTAATATGAAAACATATTCATATGAACAGTGTTGGCACATGAAATGAAAATAATTTAATTTCTGTAGTACGTAAATGTTTTCAATATGAGTATAATGAACCTGCTAAATTCTAAAGACTACAGATATATATTTTATAAAGGCGAATGAACATTTTACGTCGATATTCAAACCTTTTATAGAATGATCTAGAGAATAAGGAAAAATAAATCAGGGAGAAGTGAAGGTTTGTGTTTATGTGCAGGAAATGAGACAAGAATAAAATAAGGTTTGGTGTTTAACTTCATAGCTGTCTATCTATCTAACTGGTGTCTGCCTATTTGTCTGTCCATCCGAAGAACGATCTTATGGAAGTAATCAAATTCGTAAAAGAAAAAAATTGTCACGTCTGATGGCAATAAGATTGGATTTTTGGCTCGGTTTACCATTTACAAAAATCGATATTCTGACACACTGCAGGCAGCTATAATGTTGTAGAAAGTCTTATTATATAAATATGGCGTCTTAAGAATATCCCCACGGAAAATGTATGTGTATAAAAGACTGAAGATCAGAGAATATGGGCGAAACATTATCAATAAGTGTGTGGAATACGTAAATACTAAACTATTTATCTTAAGCAATACATATTACAAGTCACTATCATGCAACCAAATTCGACAATAACCACAATAATAATAGTAATATCGAAATAAGACATTGAGGTAACGTTATTCAAGAATGAAAAACTTGCCAAATATCAACTAATGTAGGTAAGTAGAGATTTACTACGTTATTTCATACCCGACAATAGAATGTTAGTGAACATTCAAAAATGTAAGATTATTATTAGTTGACGTTAAACAATATACAATAACAGATAGCTGGTGAACATCCAAAAATGTAAGATTATTATTAGGTGACGTTAAACAATATACAATAACAGATATTGAAAATGTAAGATTATCCATATCCAAAAATGTAAGATTATTATTAGTTGACGTTAAACAATATACAATAACAGATAGCTGGTGAACATCCAAAAATGTAAAATTATTATTAGTTTACATTCAACAATACACAATAATAGTTGATGAACATCCAAAAATTTAGGGTTATTATTAGTTTACATTCAACAATACACAATAATAGTTGATGAACATCCAAAAATTTAGGGTTATTATTAGTTTACATTCAACAATATACAATAATAGTTGTTGAACATCCAAAAATGTAAAATTATTGTTGTTTAATTATTATTAGTATATATCAAACAATGATAGATCGAGAGTGAGTATCAAAATGCATTCATAAGGTATCACTTTACAACCAACAATATTTTTTGTCAGTTAACGTTGTTAGAATAGTCAGTTAGTATACCATGATGATAGAATATAATGTTAGTTCTTAGTTAACGTCGTTAGAATAGTCATTTAGTATACCATGATGATAGAATATAATGTTAGTTCGTAGTTAACGTTGTTAGAATAGTCATTTAGTATACCATGATGATAGAATATAATGTTAGTTCGTAGTTAACGTTGTTAGAATAGTCATTTAGTATATCATGATGATAGAATATAATGTTAGTTCGTAGTTAACGTTGTTAGAATAGTCAGTTAGTATACCATGGTGATAGAATATAATGTTAGTTCGTAGTTAACGTTATTAGAATAGTCAGTTAGTATACCATGATGATAAAATATAATGTTAGTTCGTAGTTAACGTTGTTAGAATAGTCAGTTAGTATATCATGATGATAGAATATAATGTTAGTTCGTAGTTAACGTTGTTAGAATAGTCAGTTAGCATACCATGATGATAGAATATAATGTTAGTTCTTAGTTAACGTTGTTAGAATATAATTTCCGTTTGTATACAACGTTGTTAGAATATAATGTCAGTTTGTATACAACGTTGTTAGAATATAATTTCGGTTTGTATACAACGTTGTTAGAATATAATGTCAGTTTGTATACAACGTTGTTAGAATATAATTTCAGTTTGTATACAACGTTGTTAGAATATAATTTCAGTTTGTATACAACGTTGTTAGAATATAATTTCAGTTTGTATACAACGTTGTTAGAATATAATGTCGGTTTGTATACAACGTTGTTAGAATATAATGTCAGTTTGTATACAACGTTGTTAGAATATAATTTCAGTTTGTATACAACGTTGTTAGAATATAATTTCCGTTTGTATACAACGTTGTTAGAATATAATTTCGGTTTGTATACAACGTCGTTAGAATATAATGTGAATTTGTATTTGTCGTGAAGAAGAGAAAAGCCAGAGAAGATGGGGTTCGAACCTGTGCTGATGTTTTAACTACTGAACTAATCTGTCTTGACTTGCATTCTTTCAATCTCAGCATCCACACTATTGATTACAAAGGCTGGAATGTGACAGAAATGTTGAGCTTATAGTACTCAGAACCATTTCTTTTATACGTCTCTTTACAGTACTACTGGATAGGATGAGATTATCTTGAATAACTTATCATACAAAAATACTTATTGAGAAACAAACATATTTTTATATGGTATTAGTGTTAGCCATATTGCGTCCTAGTTTTAATGCAGGAATTAAACGAGTTCTCCGTATAACTTCCAAAAATACTCGTGCAAAACAATAAACCCTGTTTTCATTAGAGAGAATAAATAAATTTGAAACTGTTTTTGTTTGTTAGTAAGCAAAAGTTGCACGAGAGGCTCTCTTTGATCTGCTCCCCGCGGGTACTGAAACCTGAGTTTTAGCGTTGTAAGCCTAAAGACCTACCATTGCACCACCGAGGATCAATTTTTTTGTAAGCCTGAGCTTCATGCTGTTCAACCTACCCTTGTTTATTGTACATCTTCTTGTAGTTTTCCTGTTGTTACTCTTGTAACAATGATTAGAATTTTAATCAAACAAGTTGAACACTCTGGCTTTAATACAGCAGTGTGAAACAAAATAACTTTAACCGAAGACGATTGAGTAGCAATTAACAACTAACGGAAATTTAACTAAATTATTGCAGAATAACTGTAAAGACTAATTATCAGAGTGAAAGCGAAACGTGCATCATGATAATTTATATTCAAGTACTAGAAATTAAATTATGATAATTTTTTATGTAGTTACGTCATTGAATATATAATGATCTAAGAAAATATTCCAATTCTTAACACTGGGTTTTTGGATCTAAGAAAATATTTCAATTCTTAACACTGGGTTTTGTGATCTAACAAAATATTTCAATTCTTAACACTGGGTATTGTGTGTGTGTATGTACTTGGTTCGATGTTACGTAAACTTTTCAAACTTATCGTCTTGATTACGAGACAGACTGGGGATTGGTAGATCCTAGGTTCGAGCCGCGATATGCTGTTGAAAATGTTCCGTACTTTCAATCCCTCTATTTGGTTAAGAGTAGCCGTTAGGCGGTTGGTTTGCTAATTGTTGCCATTCCTATGGTCAGCAATTCTAAATTGGAGATAGCTGAATCCCTTGGGTTCCATGCCCTAGCCGTTTTGCCAGAACCAAGACCACACCCATAATGTCCGCTTTTCCACATGGTTAATTTCAAATAAAAATCAAAACGTCAATAAAAATTAGAAGGAACCTGATACTATAATGTTTAAAGTAAAAACAAAATAACAACAACACTGAATATAGACCATAATCAGAGAAAACTTAACTTACAGCAAAATACTCCAAAAAAAATGATATATTTACAACTCCTAAATCAGTTGAGATACACACAAAGACACTGCTTTTAGTCAGTACAGACGAAATGAATATAAGCATATATTGAATAATCTCATATGCCGACTGAAGTTGGCCAACAGGAAAATCCCCAGTGCACAAGTACAGCTCTGTTCGATAAGGCATCATGCACTACTACTATATAATTGCTGTAGTTAAGGGCTTACCCTTAAGAGGTTTAAAAACCATAAAATGCTTCTGTGTATTCTTAAGCGGCTAGTTGATTCTTTAAATTTGGACAGCACATCGATAAATGAAATATTCGGAGAAACATTTACCGTTTTCAACGCTCAGTGACGTCACGTATTTATAAGATATAAGAAATATTCGGAGAAACATTTACCGTTTTCAACGCTCAGTGACGTCACGTATTTATAAGATATAATTTGGTTTGATTTCTTTGGCATTTCACTCAAACTTATAATTGAAGATAAGCAATTTGTACGTATTCTTTCTTTATAATGTTTTCTCTTAACAATATTGCACGTTTTATTGCACATTATGTTATATTTTTACCCCTTAAATCTGCGTTCTTTCAGAACTATTGGTTGTATCGAAGACTCCTCTCTAAACAGTCATGTTTTTCGTTTGTGTTTTTTTTTGTATTTAGAATATTACGAATTCAATTATGGGGCTTTAACGGTGATGAAGGAATTTGAAAAAATCCGAAAAGTCCATAATTAAAGATGTTTCTTTCTATTAGCATGTTTTAATATTCATTTTAAAACTTTGTTTTCCATTTGAGAAATGAGTTCATTATCTGTATATATATATGATCAGGTATGCATGTTTGTACACCGAGTGATAAAGCGTCTCGTTATTCAGTAATCAGCTAAAAGACATAGAAAAAAAATGTTTAAGGTGTTTGTAATTGTGCACACCATATGGAAGTAACGAGAAGCCTAAAGGTGTTGTTTAAGATATGTAAAATTGTATTGTTTAAGGTATGTAAAACTGTATTGTTTAATGTATCTAAAACTCTATTGTTTAAGGTATGTAAAACTGTATTGTTTAATTTATGTAAAACTGTATTGTTTAATGTATCTAAAACTATTGTATAAGGTGTGTAAAACTGTATTTTTTGAGATATGTAAAATTGTATTGTTTAAGGTATGTAAAACTGTATTGTTTAAT